AGCTCTTCAGCTCAAGGCGAGCGCTCTACCACTTGAGCTACAGTGCCACTTCCGGTTTTCTGGTGGTTTATTGGAGATAGGAGTCTCACAGTCTCTCCTGCCCGGGCTGGCTTTGAACCGCGATCCTCAGATCTCAGCCTCCTGAGTAGCTAGGATTACAGGCGTGAGCCACCAGCGCCCTGCTGAGATCTTCTTGAAGAAGATCTCTGCCTCCTGAGTTGCTGGGATTATAGGCATGAGCCACTGGCCCAGTGAAGTCTATTCTTCAGGCACCTTTTGTACTATCCTTCTGTGTGCTGTGTGACCTAGGACAGATCATTACCCTCTGGGTGGCAGGGATCCCACTGTCTCTATGGAGGAACTGGCAAAGATGACCTCTGGGGCCTCCTGGTTCAGAAACTTTTCTCCCTTATAATGTATTCAGTTAGGGCATCTCTCTTCCCTGGCTAGGGTCAGTATCTTGTGGCTCTTTTGCAGGGCCTCATGTCTATAGCGATCCTGTCCCATAACTCTTATCTGAAGCTCCCTTGGCCTTTGCCGCCGCGTGCTACACACACAAACCTCCAGGCCATGCACCCCTGTCCCTACAGACATCGATGAATGTCTCATCTCCCCTGATCTCTGCGGCCAGGGCGTCTGCGTCAACACCCCAGGCAGCTTTGAGTGCGAGTGTTTTCCGGGCTACACAAGTGGCTTCATGCTCATGAAGAACTGCATGGGTGAGTGGCTGCAGGATGACATCACAGCCCTGGGTAGGATGGGCGTCCAGAGGAGGTGGATGTGGTGAAGTGCCCTACATATTGGGGGCACAGTAACCCTGGGTGCCTCAGGGTACCAACATTAGCAAAGAGGCCTGGGAGGGGGCTGTGTTCTGGGAGCAGCCAGCATAGTGGGGGTGGGGCAGGTCTCCCAGAAACCAGGAAATGCTGCCATTTGAGAAACATCTGGCCAGGTGTTAATGGCTCACACTTGTAATCCTAGCTACTAAAGAAGCTGAGATCTGAAGATTCAGGATCAAAGCCAGCCAGGGCAAGAAAGTCTGTGAACCTCTTACTTCTAATTAACAACCAAAAAGCTGGAAGTAGAGCTGTGGCTCAACTGGTAGCCTTAGAAGCCCTAAGTTCAAGCACCAATAGTGACATAGAAAAGAAAAAGAGGGGCAGGGAAGTTGGCTCAGTGGTAGAGTGTTTGCCTTGCATGCATGAAGCCCTGGGTTCGATTCCTCAGAACCACATAAGCAGAAAAAAAGCCGAAGTGGTGCTGTGGCTCAAGTGGTAGGGTGCTAGCCTTGAGCTGAAGAGCTGAGGGACAGTGCCTAGACCCAGAGTTCAGCCCTCATGACCGACAAAAAAAATGGAGCTGTGAGCTAAAAAGCTAAGGGACAGTGCCCAGGCTCTGAGCTCAAGCTCTAGTACTGGTACCACAAACAAACATCTGGGCCAGGTGTGGTAGCACTGAGTCTCCAGGCTGTGCTGACTTCAGCAGGGTAATGGGTGGGGAACAGCAGAGAGAAACTTCCAGGAACCAAATCCTTGGTCAGCATGTCCAATGTACCATCTCTTCTCCATAACCAGACGTGGATGAGTGTGTAAGGGACCCGCTGCTGTGCCGTGGAGGCAGCTGTACCAACACTGACGGGAGCTTCGAATGCCGCTGTCCCCCAGGACACAAGCTGACAGCCCAGGGCACTGCCTGTGAGGGTGTGTGTTGGTGTGAGCATGTACCTGTCTGGATGTCTTGTTGTCTGAACAAGATGGTGGGCTGGTGTGTCTGTGGTTCTCCCTGGGGATGGGCCTGTGTATGTGCAATTGAAAAGCAAGTGTGCAAGCAGGTGTGAGTAGAGTGTAGATGCATAGGCAATAGAAGTGCGTGTGAACATGCCCTATGTGAGTTTGTATCCTGTGAAAGGGTATCTAAATACATGTGCATTGAGTCTGGGAGTATGTGCGTCTACACGAGGGTGTTTGCATGTGAGTTGGTATGAGTATGTGCATGTGGGTGAGTATGTAAGGGGATGCGTGTGTTTGTGTGTAACTCTATAGGGAAAGGCATGAGTGCATGAAGTGTGTGTATGCATCTCTTGGTGTGCAGAGGATGTGTGTGTTTATGTGCTTACAGAAGGGAAATGTTTGTGTTGTTTGGGTTTTTGTTTTCTTTTTTGGTACTAGAGCCTGAGCTCAGGGTCTCATGCTAGCTTGACTTGCTTGCTCATCTAGTGTTCTACTACTTCCAGCCATGCCTCCAGCCCTGCTTTTTGCTGGTTATTTTGGCCATGAGTCTCACCAACTTACCTGCTCAGGCTGGCTTTGAGCTATAATCCTGTAGATCTCAAAAACTTGTAGAGCTAGGATTATAAGCATGAGCCACAAGTGCTGGGGGTTGTGTTTATGTGTAGTTATACTTGTGCACATGCACACACACACACACACAAGGAGTGTGTATGGGTGTGGCTCTCCATCCAGGTGTGGATATCTAGGCAGGTGTGTGTGTGTGTGTCCTGGCCTGTGGCATGAGATGTGCTTGTGGGCAGTGTAGGCACTCTTCAGAGTGTCCCTGAGTGTCTCACACGGCCGTGAAGACGGCAGATGGGGTGCAGGCCCCTCCCTCACCAGGGATCCCCACCAGCTGCGGGTCCCCCCACAGACATCGACGAGTGTGCCCTGCGGGACAGTCTGTGTCTTCATGGCCAGTGTGTCAACCTCATCGGCACCTTCCACTGTGTCTGCCACTCGGGCTTCCAGGTCACGCCTGAGCGCCAAGGCTGCCAGGGTGAGACTGCCAGGCCCCCTACCCGCCCTCAGCCCCCCGAGGCCTGCCCCCCAATCTGCCCACCCTCCTCCAGCACCCCACTGCTGGGTACCCCCTAAACTAGGCCCTGCCTGTGTCCGACCTTCTCTCACTGCCGGACCCCTCCTGCCTGTCCCACCTTCCACAGACATCGATGAGTGCCGGGTGGGGAATGGTGGCTGCGAGGCGCACTGCGTGAACACTGAGGGCAGCTTCCAGTGCAGCTGTGGACAGGGCTACGTGCTGAGGCCCGACGGGAGGGCATGCGCGGGTGGGTGGGAGCACATGCACGTAGGAGGGGGGACAGATATGCATGCATGAGTGGACGCACTGGGTGGGCACATGCGCAGGTACAAATGGAAGTAGGTGCGAAGGCGTACAGCATGTGTATGCGCATGTGTAGTCGCGTGTGAGTAGGTGGATGGGCATGTGCAGAGGCTGATGGCTGTGCTTGGGTGGGCCATATGCATGTATGGGTAAATGCATGTGGATAAACTGATGCGCATGCGTGGATAGACCGACGCACGTGGGCCGGTGCGCACGCGAGAGTCGAGGTAGTTGCGTGTGCGCATGCGTGAGTGGTCCAATGCGCATGTGTGTGCACGAGGTCTCTTTCCCGCCTTCCCTCCGGCGTCAGAAGGGTGACGGCTGGCGTCAGCCTGTCCCGGAATCCTGCACGGCTCAGTCCAGGCTGCATCCAGTCAGAGCTGAAGCATCCCCGAGCCTGGCCTGTGAGCTTCTGGCGCTCTCGGAAGGAACCCGGGGCATTTCCCATGTCCCTGTCCGTCGGCAGCCCACCCTCCGTCCCCGCTCCCACAGATGTGGACGAGTGTGAGGAAAACCCGGCCGTCTGTGGCCAAGGCCGGTGCACCAACGAGCCCGGTGGACACCGCTGCCTGTGTTACGAGGGTTTCACGGCTGCACCTGACGCGAAGACCTGTGTGGGTGAGAGGCCTGGGCTGAAGGGTGGGGAAGGCTGTATGTGAGTCCCCCCCCCCACCGCTTTCCTGAGGCTGCACCACGTGATCACCGCAGACCCTGGGACCCATCCCTGAAGACCTGTAGGGCTCCAGGCAGGGCATCGAGGGACAGCGCGTCGAGGTCTCCTCAGGCCCACCAGTGCCCTGGGCCCACTCTCCGAAGCCTGTGGGATCTGTTTCCAGGAAACTTTTTGTTCTTCTGGATTGCATTTGTGGAACGTGTACTACTAAGCACAGAGCCATGTTCAGCTCTGAGAGCTGTACTTTAAAATCACCACAGGCAGCCGGGCGCCTGTAATCCTAGCTATACAGGAGGCTGAGATCTGAGGAGCCGTGCAGGAAAGTCCGTGAGACTCTTATCGCCAATAAACCACTAGGAAACCAGAAGTGGCGCTGTGGCTCAAGCCGGAGAGCGCTTGCCTTGATCTGAAGAACTGAGGGACAGCGCCCAAGCCCCACGATTGACCACCCCCCCCAAAAAAAAAAATCACCACAGGCAAAAGTTTTGGTGGCAAAGGGTTTTCATTTGTTTATTTTCTCTTTTTGTGCAGTTCCTGGGGCTTGAACTTAGGCCCTGGGTGCTGTCTCTGAGCTGCTTTTTGATTAAGGCTAGCGCTCTACCAGTTGAGTCACAGTTCCACTTCTGGCTTTTTTGGTGGTTTATTGGAGATAGAGTGTCACAGACTTTCTTGCCTGAGCTAGCTTTGAATTGCGATCTTCAGATCTCAGCCTCCTGAGTAGCTAGAATTACAGGCAAAGTCTGGCTTTTAAAATTTTTATTTATTTTTTTCCTCTTTTTTTTTTTTTGTTGGTCGTGGGGCTTGAACTCTGGACCTGGGTGTTGTCCCTCAGCTCTTCAACTCATGGCTAGCACGCTATCACTTGAGCCACAGGCGCACCACTTCTGGCTTTTTTTCTGCTTACATGGAATCAAACCCAGGTCCTCATGCATGCAAGGCAAGCACTCTATCACTGAGCCACCTTCCCAGCCCTTTATTTATTTTTATATTGCCAGTCATGGGGCTTGAACTCAGGGCCTAGGCACTGGCCCTGAGCTTCTTTTGCTCAAGGCTAGCACTCTATCAGTTGAGCCACATTGCCACATCTGGCCTTTTCTGTTTATGTGGTACTGAGGAATCGAATCCAGGGTTTCATGAATACGAGGCAAACATTTTACCATTCAGCCACATTCCCAGCTCTTTTTAAAGAACAATTTAATATGTTAGTGTTAGTGCTAGAACTTAGGGTCTGGGTGCTGTCCCTTAGTCCTGTAAGCTAGCACTTTATCACTTGAGCCACAACTTCTCTTCTAGCTTTTTTTCTGGTTAATTGGAGATAAAAGTCTCATAGACTTTCCTGCTCAGGATGGCTACAAACCTTGATCTTCAGATCTCAGCCTTCTGAGAAGCTAAGATTACAGCACTCAGCTCCTAGTTAGCTTTTGAAACCTAGCATTTCCTAAATCCCTCTGGGAATGTTTGCCTGTGACATTCCTGGCCTTGGTACTAGAGGGAGCTTAGCACCATTAGAGAGCCCTAGTGTGGCAGCACACTCAGGAATTCTAGTGGTCTCCCTCCTACCCCTTTCACTTTTCTCCCATCACCAGCATCTGATCCTCAGGTCTCAAGCCCTCTCCTTCCACAGATGTGAATGAGTGTGACCTGAACCCTGACATCTGTCTCCATGGGAACTGTGAGAATACAAAAGGATCTTTTGTCTGCCACTGCCAGCTGGGCTACATCGTCAGGAAGGGGGCCACTAGCTGCTCTGGTGAGCCAGCAGTCAGCCATGCAGGTGGGAGGAACCCCAGGAGCCACTGTTGGAGATCATCAGGACTGTCTCTGTGCTTCAGGGCAGAGCCCAGTCAGAATTCATTCTTAGAGATTTCCACTAATGAGTCCTCTTGAGAGTAAATTTACCTGGGGCTCCCCTTAAACAGCTCCATAAAGCCCCAGTGGTACATTGCAACTTTCCCAAATTATCAACCAAGCCTGATAATTTTGCATGATACAAGGATGAACACTTAAATATTTGTACAGTTATAGAATTAGCTTCCCAGGGTTCCAACAACAACTGAACACATGCCTGCTGGCTTAGAGGCCCAGAGATTTATTCTTTCTCCATGAGGAGAACTCCAGGGACAAGAGCTTAGGAGGGATGGATTTTTGGTTAGGGATTTAGAGAGAGCATCTGTCCCACACATCTCTCCAGTTCTTTACCGTTCCTTGGTTTTGGAATAACAACATGCTAACTGCTGCCTTGTATGTATATGAGATCTGTCTATTTTGTCTTGTCTCTTCCTCCCTCCCTCTCTCTCTCTCTCTCCCTCCCTCTCTTTCTCTCCTCTCTCTCTCTTTTCCCCTTCCTGCTCTCTCCTCTGCCCTGGGGATGAAACCCAGGGCTTCACACTTGCCAGGCAAACACACTACCACTAGAGCCACACCCACAGCCTTTTGCTTTTAGTTTATTTTGCAGATAAGGTCTTGGGCTTTTGCCCACTGATCCTCCTATCTCCCCTCTTGTGTAGCTGGGATTTCAGGCATACTCTACCATACCACCACACCTGGGCTCATGTGGTATTATTTTCTCTGCCTGTGTCCAACTTTCACTCTTAAGAGAGAGGAGTAGTTGTTGGATCAGGGATCACTAACCGAGATAACCTCAATTTAGTGACAGTCTACAGAAATGATCACATTCACAATTGGAAGATTGGCACTTTTAATATACCTTTTGAGAGATCACAATTCCCCACACTTGGGCTCTATGGTTATTTTTATGTGTACTGGCACAAATATTGCATAACAGCATCAATTCTGGTTGATATTTAAGCCACATCTTCTTGTACTTTAGCCCCGCCCCTGCCACTTGAGCCACACTTTCTAGCACTTGGGCAGTGTCCCAACTGCTTTAAGTAGAGCCCTATTGCTTGAGCTACTCCCCCTAGTGCTTTAGCCATGCCCCTACCACTTGAGCCAGGCCTTAGTGCTTGAGTCACTCTTTCACAGCTTAAGCCATGCCCTAACACTTAAGCCACACCTCCAGCCATTTCAGACCATTTCTGAATGCTGCTCAAGTATTGCCCTTGGAGTTTTGGAGCTTCTCTCTTGGGTTCTGGAGGCGGACGGAAGCTCCTTGGTTTGGAGGGCTATCTCATATACCTTGCTCTTGACCTGCTTCTTCTCTTCTGGACCTGGGTTCCATTGTGGCACTCTCTCCTTTCAGACCTGGATGAATGTGAGCCGGGCCAGGACAGTTGTGACAGCCATGCCTCCTGCCTTAACACCCCTGGGAGTTTCAGCTGCAGGTGTCGTCCAGGCTGGGTGGGGGATGGCTTCAAATGCCATGGTGAGTACCTGGGGGAAAGGAGGGGATCCCTATAAAATGGAAGAGGTTAGTGGAGACAGGATGGGGGTTCTTGGACTCAGGGGTGTCTCTAAGGGCCATACAGGGCTGGGGTGGGTGTGCCTCCTCACGGCCCCCTCCCCCCCCATACATGCTTGAGGGTTCTGGGTTCTGATTTCATACAGACATGGATGAATGTACCACCCCAGAACATCACTGCAGCCCCAGAGCTGACTGTCTCAATGTCCCTGGGAGTTACCGCTGTGCCTGCCGCCCTGGATTTACTGGGGATGGATTCTCCTGTGAAGGTAAGTGTAGGGCTAGGCAGCAGCCAGACAGGGGCAGCCTGGGGCCCTAGGTGACCTTCAAGAATCTAGGACTTCTTCCCCCACTCTGTGTGGGTTCCAGCCCAACTGGCCTCCAGATGTCTATGCCTCTGGGCCTCTCAGATAGGGATGAATGTGCAGAGAACATGGATCTTTGTGAGAATGGCCACTGCCTCAATGTCCCTGGCGGGTACTACTGTGAGTGTGAGATGGGTTTCACTCCTACTGGGGACCATGGAGCCTGCCAGGGTGAGTCCTGGGCCTGCCAGGGTATGGGGGCAGAGAACGCTGTGGGACAGGGCAGCTCACCTGGGGTCCCTGCAAATGTGGATGAGTGCGCACTCGAGACACTGTGTGTGCCTGGTAGCTGTGAGAACCTGCCAGGCATGTTCTGCTGCCTCTGTGAGGATGGCTATGAGCTGGACCATGGTGGCAGTCACTGCACAGGTATGTGTCAGCAGACAAAGGAAAGGGCTGCAGGATGTAGCCTGCTCCTCCACTGTCCTTCCTATGTAGTCTCATCATTCCATTTATGTCACCCTGCTTTGTTCTCCTGGTACCATCTCCTGAATCAGCAGTGAATGAATGAGTATGCCTTCCCCTACAACTGCCCAAGTGCTCCTCCAGTTGTGTGTCTTTGAAAACGAGCAGATGGTAGCTGTATTTCCCTTGCAAGCCTTATTATTTCAGTTGTCACTGCTCAACTCTACCACTGTGGCTCCAAAGCAGCCATAGACAATATGTAAATGAGCACGTATGGCCAGGTGTCAATAAAACCTTATTGACACAACCTAGTTGTGGCCAGATTTGACCCATGAGTTGAAGTTTGCCAGCCCTTGGTTTGAAAGCATTTTCTAAATCTGGGTTTTATATGTTGGCTGTGGGGAGCCTAGGATGGAGGGCTTGCAGGAGGCAAACCTATGCTGAGTCCAATAGAGCAGGGTAGGCACACTCTGGAGGCCCCATCCCCTTCTGTCTGTCACCTGAGAGCAGACTCTAAACAAGGGAGAGGAGGGGGTATAGTGAAGGCTCCCAGCCAGTGACAGTGCCTTCCCCCACCCAGACATCAATGAGTGTGCAGACCCTGTGAACTGCATCAACGGACAATGCATCAACACTCCCGGCAGCTATCTCTGCAACTGCCCCCAGGATTTTGAGCTGAACCCCAGTGGGGTAGGCTGTGTGGGTGAGTCAACACTTGGCCCAAGCAAAAGGCCCTAGGATCTGTGGAGCTAGGACCTGAGTTTACATGCATGTCTACCTGCTCCTCATCCAGTTGGCACATTTGTCAATCCCAATGGGATTGCTCTTCTCATCTGGGGAGTTCTAGCCATCGGTCTAGATAAGCAGCCACATAAATGCACAATTTCATACATATCCACACATACACAGAATTAAACAGGTATACAGAGACATACAATTACACACACAACAGTTATACAAAGAGAAAGTTATACAAAGAACCACACAGAAGCACACACATGTGCACAGGGTCCACAAAGATAATTACAAACACATTGCCCTCAGATACACACACACACACATACACACATATACACACATATACATTGTTTTTCCTCTACCTTCTGCTAACCATCCCTTTCTGCTTGTGCAGACACCCGGGCTGGGAACTGTTTCCTGGAAATGCACAGCCGAGGGGATGGAGGTGTTTCCTGCAGTGCTGAGGTTGGAGTTGGGGTCACCCGAGCCTCCTGCTGTTGCTCCCTGGGCCGGGCCTGGGGCAACCCCTGTGAATTGTGTCCAATGGGAAACACAAGTGAGTAGTGTAGTTCCTACAGAGTGGGGGCCACTGCTGGGGTTCAGCCATAGAGACTGGGGAGTTTATGAGACATCTCTGCTCATGAAAACTGGTGTGGGAAGGGTAATCTTGGATCATACATTCTAAACCTTGGCCTTCATGGGCCAGGCCTTCTTCTAGAGCACTTTTGGAAAACTCAGTGTATAGTCTCACCATCACAGTCAGTCAACCCACATTGGAAATTTTTTGGTACCTTTTGCTGAGGGCTGAAGATACAGAGAAGGACAAGTTACAGCTGTGGTATACTACCCCTCATCTGGGAATCTCATTGAGAGCCAAGGGTCTGTTTGAGGCTTATGGCCTAGGAGAAAGCTAGGGAGAGAAAGGGGCCAAAGGAAGTCTTCCTACAGGAGAATTGAGGAGGTTATGAAGGATGAGTAGGAGTTTTCCTAGAAGAATAAATGGAAGGGTCTACAATGCAGTGGGAACAGCATATACAAAGCTACTGCCTTATGATCCATCTGCTTACAAATTGAATATGGGTCCTACTTTACACATACCCAGGTACTCCCAGATTTGGCCAAGGTCTCTTGGCCCCCAGGAGGCCTGGGGGTAAGCAAATGTAAGGGTACAGCGGTGGGATGGAGGCTCCCAATACTGAGCCCTTTTGGGGGACCTCCCTTTTCTGTTTCCCCTAGGCGTTGTCCAAGTGCCTCTCCTCATGACCCTTTACTTAGAGCCCATTTCCTTTGCAGGTGAGTACAGAACCCTGTGCCCGGGTGGTGAGGGCTTCCGACCCAACCCCAATACTGTCATTCTGGAAGGTAAGTTTCTGGCATATCCTCTGCCCGTCTGTCCATCTCTGTCCATTCACCCCCTAAGACCCTTTCTCTTATCCTTACTTCACCAAAGTACCTTGTTGGGTGGCCATATCCTCCATCCATCTGGAGGCCAAGCAGCAGAGCCAAAATTTAAAATTTTTGGCTTTAAAATTATTCTTTAGCCATCTCTTTTTTTATTTCTTTTGTCCACCCACCCATCCATCCACCTGCTCACTATTCATCCATTCACACATCCATCTATCTTTTCATTTATTCACTGCCACCCACCCTTCACTCAGCTACCCATCATTCTCATCATCCAGCTATCCATTGATTCTTTATCAGTCTATTGGTCTGTTGTTCATCCCACCCATTTATCTCCACATCATCCATTTCCATCTGTATATCTATCTACCTCTCCATTTATCCATCCCTCTATCCACCCATCTAGATATTGATCCATCTACACCTCCACCCATCCTTTTGTTCATCCTCATTCCTTCTCCATCCATGTGTCTATCAGCCCCCATCTGCTCTGTCTGTCTGCCAACCTCCTATTCACCCACTCATCCATTTCTCATCAATCCATTCCCCCAAATCTGTCTTTTCGTTCACCACCTCTTCCATTTTTTTTTTTTTTTTTGTTGGTCGTGGGACCTGAACTCTGGGCCTGGGCGCTGTCCCTCAGCTCTTCAGCTCAAGGCCAGCACCCTACCACTTGAGCCACAGCACCACTTCCAGCTTTTTCTGCTTATGTGGTGCTAAGGAATCAAACCCAGGGCCTCATGCATGCAAGGAAAGCACTCTACCACTGAGCCACCTTCCCAGCCCCTCACCTCCTTTTCCATTGACCCACTTTTTCCACCTATTTCTGGTAGCTTTTTGTAGGCACTCAGCTTCCCATCAGTCCTCCTTGGGGAATGATGAGACTGGGAAGACATGAATGGGAGGATGGACAGTGTGGACGCACAGATGAGAGGAAAGGAGCTGGACTCAGGCCAGTTCTGACGGTCCAGCCTTTGAGGCAGATTCTTCAAAGCTCCTACAGCCATGGATAACTCCTGGGGGTGGTTGAAAGGCAGCCCATGAGTGTCCTTTAAGACCCCTGCTAGGGTTTAGCTCAGCTTTCATTTCCACACAGACATTGATGAATGCCAGGAACTGTCTGGGCTGTGTCAGGGAGGCAACTGTGCCAATACTTTTGGCAGCTTCCAATGTGAGTGCCCGCATGGGTACCAACTCAGTGGGGACACCCGCATCTGCGAGGGTGAGTATGGACTCTTCCTGTATTGGGTCAGGCTCTCCTCCATTTCTGCTATTCTGCTTGGACTGTGATCCTTTTGTTGGCTTGTTGGGATGGCAGACAAAGACCACCAATATGACTTGATACTTGAGTTGGGGATCTTAAGAACTTTTGCCTTCGCTGGCCTGGGAATATGATCCTTTTCTTTTCAGCCTCCCAAGTAGCTGGAATTACAGGTGTGAGTCACCATTGTTAAACATTTTTGTCTCCTTAATAGTCACTTTTATGGAGGGGTGAAGCCTAGAGTCATCTAGTGCTCTGCACTTTTTTGTGATTATCACTTCCAGCATAATCTACCAGTGGTGGGAGGTATATTTATTTGGTAGTATTAGGGATTGAAATCAGGGCCTCATTTTGCTTGCTTGCTCACAGCTGGCACTCTACCACTAGAGCCATACCTCCACTCCTAGTTTTGGTGGCTAAGAGATAAGAATCTCATGGGCTTTTCTTGTCCAAGCTGGCTTTGAACCAAGATCCTTAAATCTCAGCCTCCTGAATAGCTGGGATTATAGATGTGAACCACTAGCACCTGGCTCAGATATTTTTGTTGTTGTTGGTCATAGGTCTTGAATTCAGGGCCTGGGGGGTCTGTCCCTGAGCTTTTTTGCTCAAAGCTAGCACTCTACCACTTTGAGCCAAAGCACCACTTCCAATTTTCTGGTGGTTAATTGGAGATAAGAGTCTCACAGACTTTCCTGCCCAGGCTGGCTTTGAACCATGATCTTCAGGTCTCAGCCTCTTGAGGAGCTAGGATTATAGGAGTGAGCTACCAGTGCCTGGTTAGGTTTTTTTTGTCAGTCATGGGGCTTTAACTCTGGACCTGAGTGCTGTCCCTCAGCTCTTCACTCAAGGCTAGTGCTCTACCACTTGAGCCAAAGCCATTTCCGGTCTTCTGGTGGTTTATTGGAGGTAAGAGTTTCACAGTCTTTCCTGCTTGGGCTGGTTTTAAACTGCAATTCTCAGGCCTCAGCCTCCTGAGTAGCTAGGATTACAGGACTGAGCCACCAGTGCCCAGCCTGACTAGATATTTTTTAAAGAATAGAATTGTTATACTACAATTTTTCTACTTAATACTCTGATTACGTCTTTCCATATCTATACACTAAACTGTCTGCATCATTTCAAGCTGACTTTGTGAACAGACTAAAACCTAGAATGAAATTCTTCCAATGGGCATAGGGTCTGCAGTTGCCCAATCACTGGTCACCACTGCCTGTTGCCTCTGCCCCACACTGCCCTCTCCCTACAGATATTGATGAGTGTGCCACACAGTTGGGTATATGTGGCCCAGGCACATGCTACAACACCCTGGGAAACTACACCTGCATCTGCCCTGCAGAGTACCTGCAAGTTAATGGCGGCAACAATTGCATGGGTAGGAAGTATGATGGGGATGGGGGAATGGGCATTGCAAGATCACATGGTATGGAAGGAACCACTGAGAGCCTCTAAGCCTTAGAAATACACAGAGAGAAATATTTAGGAGGGGAAAGAGGGAGGGTGAACATATTTGAAGTGCTGATCATGCATCCGTGAATAATATTGAAAAACTCAAAAGCCCAGGGCTGCCATGAACAGTTGTTCAAGTTGTGGACTGCCCAACAAAGGTTAAGTCATGAAAGGTTCTCAAGTGTGTGTGGGGAGAAAGACTAAGTTACTCATGTTCAAAGGAATTCAGGAGTGAATTTAAAGTTTGTTTCTGTTTTCCTGTGCCTTGGATCACCCATTCCTCTATTCTCTCCCAATGCCAAGGACAGATATGAGAAAGAGCATGTGCTTTCGCTATTATAATGGCACCTGTAGGCACGAGCTGGCCTTCAACATCACTCAGAAGATGTGCTGCTGTTCCTACAACATCGGCCAGGCATGGAACAGACCTTGTGAAGCCTGCCCCACACCTGCTAGCTGTGAGTGCACCTCTCCTCCCCTCATTTGAGCTTTGGACTGCCTTGCACTGGTGCAAGCTGGAATCAAGGTTACATTCCCCACGTGGATGGGAAAAGCAGTCTTTCTTCCAATTTGCAGACTTTGCAAACTCAGCATGGATTGGTGATGGGAAAAACCCTTGGTGACACAGTTACTCTAAGAGGCTTACCAAGTGTCTGGAGTTGAAGAGGAAACACAGATAGAGAAACCTAGGTCACATCCCCCTACCCCACAAAGCTGGGAAAAGGCAGTCTTAGGGAAACTCGAGGAAGATTGGGCCCTGAAGGAAAATGCTTGGCCTGTCAGATAAGGGAGGGAAGTTGAGGTAGGAAGGACAGACAGAGCTGCTGATAGTGTGGAGCCAACTTTGTTGACAGCTAGGATGCAGCCTAAGTCAAATGTGATGATACATGCCTATAATCACCTCAGGAGGTGGAGGTAGGAGGAGTTTGAGGCCAGACTGGACTACATAGCAGTCTCTGTCTCACAAAACAATAACCTGTTGGTAAACAGAACAAGATTCAGAAAGAACAGCAGGAATGGGGCCAGGTCAGAGCATGGCATGGGTCAATTCCTTCCCTGGGCCATTACCAGCAACCTGGTGACTTTTGGAAATGCAATTCTGGAGGCTAGAAGCTCAGAGTCAAGATGTCAGCAGGGCTGGGCTCTGAGGACTGCAGTGGAAGATCCTTTCTGATGACTTTTTTTTTTTTGCCAGTCCTGGGGTTCGAACTCAGGCCCTGGATGCTGTCCCTGAGCCTCTTTAGTGCTCTACCACTTCAGTCTCAGCACCACTTCCAGTTTTTTAGTAGTTACTTGGAGATGAGAGTCTCATGGGAACTTTCCTCCCCAGGCTAGCTTTGAACTCCAATCCTCAGATCTCAGCCTACTCAGTAGCTAGGATTACAGGCATGAGCCACCAGTGCCCAGCTCAGATAATTATGTTGATGATTCTTTTTGGTGATCCTTGGTGTATAGCTACATCATCCTGGTCTCTGCTTCAGTCTCTCTGTCCCCCCTCCTTCTCCTTTTCTTATTTTTTACTGGGTTTTGAACTCAGGACCTCTCTCTCACTTGCTAGGCAGATACTCTGCTACTCAGCCCCCAGTCCTTCCCCTGTTTTTTTTTTCTTTGCTTCAGTTATCTTTCAGATAAGGCCTTTTGTTTTTGCCTGGACCAACCTTGGACCTTGATCCTTCTATCTTTATTTCCCACATTGCCAAGATTACAGGCATGAACTACCACCCTCTACCCTCTCTATGCCTCTTCTCTGGACTTTGGGGTCACCTTATTCCAGTCCCATCCCTTCTTAACTTGATGATATCTGCAAAGACAAGAGTTTCCAAATAAGGGCACATTCTGAGGTTCCATTTGAGGGAATATTATGTTGCACAACCAGGTGCATAGACCCATAGGAAAAGTCACTATTGAGCATTTCTGGGCTCTGGGTGTTGAGCTCTAGGAAATAAGAATAAAGGAGATTCAGTTCTTCACCCTGCACTGTGTTTGGAAGGCAGCTGATGCAGGTTCTCTACCACTTTATTCATTCTTTTTCAAATAGGGTATCACTTTTTGCCTTGGACTATCTGGAACACAGTCTTCCAATTTTTTTTTTGTTTCCCATATAGCTGGGTTTATAGGCATGTACTACCACATTCATGTATTGGTTGAAATGGTGTCTCAACTTTTTGCCCAACTGGCCTCGAATCAATCCTCCAGTCTTTTTCTTCAAAGTAGCTAAGATGACAGGCATGAGCCACCACTCCCGATTCTCTTTCTCTCTCTCTCTCTTTTTTTTTTTTTGGTCGGTTGTGGGACTTGAACTCTGGGCCTGAACGCTGTCCCTCAGCTCTTCAGCTCAAGGCTAGAGCTTTACCACTTAAGCCACAGCACCACTTCCACCTTTTTCTGTTTATGTGGTGCTGAGGAATTGAACCCAGGGCCTCATGCATGCAAGGCAAGCACTCTACCACTGAGCCACCTTCCCCAGCCCCTCTTTCTCTCTTTTAAAAGAGACCTTCTCTAATCCTAATGATCTTCCCACGGCCCCATCTTCAGACACTCTGTAACATAGGACTTTGGGGCTGCAATTTCTAACACATAAACTTTGGAGATGGGGGAGTTGAATCAACACTGGAAAGACAAGTGGGAGAAGAGTTCTCAAAATCTCTACAGGTAGGGGCAGAGGTGAATATGGTAGTATAGTAACAAAGCAGTCTGTGTTTCTCTAATGATGCCAACAAGTATGCTTGGTTGTAGCCTGAGCAGCAAAGAACTTTGGGGGATGGGGGGTCTCCCTTTTGTGTGTTGGGGAACTACTGATTGCACAGGCCAGGGGCAATCTTGAGCCCAGGGCTGCTTAAGCAAGCTCGGGCAGGTTAGAGAAGACCAGGTGGGGTTGGGCTGTGGGGTGAGAGGGGTGAGGACTCTCCTTGCAGAGTCTGCTCTGAAGCTCTGCTGTCCTTGGCACAGCTGACTACCAGGTCTTGTGTGGGAGCCAAGTCCCTGGCTTCATCACTGACATGCACACTGAAAGGCCCCGCGGTGAGTGCTGCCCCTCACATACATCTGAGTGTCCCCAGCCTGGCTGTTCTTCCTAATCCCACCCTTCCTTCCTTTCCACCCTGTCTCCTTAGCCTCTCTCTGCCCAAAAACCCTAGGAATCTACCCCCAAAATCTACCCTTCCTCCCTCCCTCCCTCCTGTGCTGGGGATGGAACCCACAACCTCATGCATGCTATATCCTCACCCTGAAATATGCATTTTTTAATTGACACCAGAACTTTTACCTGCCCTCCCTGTGCTGGCCACATCTGGCCTCTTTGTGGTCTGAGCAGGAGCATTTTGGCCCCAGCAGTTTTTGTGGATGGAGCAAATGCTTGCTGGCTGCCACAGCCCCTTCTACCACACTGTAGGACCAGCAGGTACCCAGGGATGGGCCCCCCTGACCTCTTATGTCTTCCCCAGATATTGACGAGTGCAGGGAAATCCCAGCCATCTGTACCCATGGCGTCTGCATCAACCAGGCCGGGAACTTCCACTGCGAGTGTCCTATGGGCTTCCAGTACCACAGCGACTTGCTGGCCTGTGAAGGTGCCCACCTGTTCTATCCCCAGCTCTGGGGCCTTGGTTGAGGAGGGGGGATGCTGCCCTTCCCCCCACATGGGTCTCCCATGATGCAATTGAGGGGAACCATGTAAAACTCTGAACCTGTTTCCCCATCTGAGTGAATATCTTCCTGGGGTCCTCTATCCCTTCTAACCACCCTTGCTCTGGTTTTAGATGTTTTCAGAGAGATCTTCAGGGCTGAGCTTGGGGTCTGGTTCTGTCAGGGTGGGCTTCTCTTATCCACTTGGTTCACTGGCTTGGCCCACAGATGTGGATGAGTGTGGTACCACAGAGAGTCCCTGTGGGAGGAAAGAATCCTGTGTCAACATCCCTGGCAGCTACCGCTGTGAGTGTGCCCAAGGATTCACACTGTCGCCCAGAGGAGTCTGCGTGGGTGAGTGGGGTATCCAGGATGATGGGCCAGACCCTAGCAGAGCAAGTCTGGCAACCCAGAGACCCTGGAGGGATCTTAAACATGGGTGCTTCAGGACAGGCTCAGGCTCCCCCATTGTAGCATGGGGGGTTGGGGAAACAGTGATGTGGCCCTTGGACATACTCTGCTGCCTGAATCCCTGGATGGAATGAGTGCCAGGAGATCATGAATGTCTGTGGTCATGGTGACTGCGTGGACATGGAGGGCAGCTACGTGTTCCTCTGTCACCATGGTTTCCGGGCCTCAGCAGACCAGACCCTCTGCATGGGTGAGAGGCCTTCTTGTGTCTTCCTCTCAGGACAGGCTCTGCCTGGGGTCTTCATCTCCCCCAGGTTGGGATGGCTCTTTTATCTATACTAATTCACAAATGGATGCAGATTTGAATCCTGGCTCTTAAATCTTAAATCTGTCTCCCCATGCCTCAGTTTTCCTACCTGTAAAATGAGAATAATAGGTAGTGCCAGATACCCCATCTAAGGGTCACTGTCCAGCCATCTGAACCAGGTATGGTGCTGGGAGACAGGCTGGGTCGACTGGGTCCTCTCCCCAAACCACCAGTGCACTTCCCTTGGGTGCATTGAGTGGGTTGGTGTGTTTGGCTCTGTCAGACCTTGATGAATGTGACTGGTGGCCATATGGGAATGGAACCTGCAAGAATACCATTGGCTCCTATAACTGCCTCTGCTTTCCAGGCTTTGCAGCTTCACACAATGGGGGACTGTGTGGGTGAACTTGCAGGGTTAGGGGACAGGCCTCTGTGTCCTCTTGAATAGCAGATACATCTGACGAGCATTGGTGGCTCAGACCAGTAATCCTTCCTACTCAGAGGCTGACATCTGAGGATTGAGGTTTGAAGCCAGCCCTAGCAGGAAAATCCTTAAGATTCCTACCTCCAGTTAACCACCAGAAGCCAGAAGTGGAGCTGTGGGCCAAGTAGTAGAGTGCTAGCCTTGAGTGAAATATCTCAAGAGACAGTACCCAGGCCCTGAGTTCAGGTGCCAGCCCTAGTACAAAGAAAAAAAGGAAAGTAATTATCTGGGATGCAGTTAAGAGCACTTAGTGGCATATTCATAGCACCATATGGTTTTATATTAGAAAATAATAGTATCTACCTCATACAATAATAGGATGATTAATATGTAGAGTTGTATAGGAGTGCTTGCTTAACTGAAGTCTGTACCATCAGCTCATGGGAGGCTCAATGTTCTTAGGCTCCATGACTGACTACCTGCCCATTTCCTCACTGCAGATACTGATGAGTGTACCATCTTGGTGGGGCAGGTGTGCCAGTTTGGCCAGTGCCTCAACATAGCTGGCTCCTTCCTCTGTATCTGCCAGGATGGCTTCGAACTCACAGCCGATGGGAGGAATTGTGTGGGTAAGTCTCCCAATGGTGTTTTGAGTCATTTCAGCCAGACCTCAAGCCACAGTCACTTGCAGATGGCACTTTTGAGTGGGCCTGGTTTTATCTGATACCTGTGTGCATTTATTTTAAGGTATAATAATAATAAAAACAAAAACCCTTGCACATCACAGTTTCATAGGGTGTGCAGGTTAGGGTGAGACTGTCTGAGAGATGTAAGTCTTCTGAGACAAAGAATAGATTTGCTAAGTGGATGCCACAGAAATCTTGGAAGGCTTCTTGCTCCCCCTTGCCCTCTGGACTCTTCATTCTCCACCTTTAACTCACCAGATAATCACTCCCTTGATGCTCAAACTGGACCCCAAATTGGTATTGGGAGAGAGGGCTTATCACAGGACCCTGAGCCATCATGCAGTGACCACCAGACATTGGCCCCAGCCCCAGGTGAGCCCTCCACCTCCTCTCTCACACTGGGGTTCCCTCTTTGTTTTCCCCAACAGACACCAACGAATGTGTGACCCTTTCAGAATCCTGCCTGCCAGGCGTCTGCCAGAACCTTGAGGGCTCCTTCCGCTGCAGCTGCCCCCTGGGGTTCCAAGTGCAGAGGGAGCATTGTGTGGGTGAGTGTCCAGTTTCATGTCCCAGCCTTGGGAGCAGGGAGGTACCTCTGGGCCTCTGTCTCCTCGTCAGCTTACAAGCCCAGCACGAAGCATGGCTACATATGTTGGTGGCACTGTTATAGTTGCTTTTAGATTATTGACTACAGATTTTCTCTCCAGGTCTCCCACAGAATTTGTGGGCCCTATAAAATGGACACAGGCTCTTCTCACTCAGTAATTGACCATGATCTTCCCTGGTGTAATCACCCACAGGGGTAACTAAGCTAGATTGGCCTGACTTGACCTTCACTGGTTCTTTCATAGGGCTAGACTTATACAGTATAGGCTAACTTGGGCCAGTCTGATCTAAGTAGATGAGCTAGCCTCATACAGTCTAGACTAACCTGGAGTGAACTGATCTCATGACCGCTGGTCTAATCTTTTCTTTTTTATTATTTTTATGAGAATACCATACAGAGGATTTACAATTACATGGGCAAGATAATGAGTATATTTCTTACCAAGCATTGTTGCCTCCTCTTTGTTTCCCCTTCCCATCCCTTCCCATACTCCCCTCTCCCCCCACCTGATCTTCCCCCCACCCCCCATCTAGTCTAATCTTGCATTTGGGCTAGCCTTGATCTGGGCCACTCTGGATCAGTCTGGCTTGAAAAATGGCCTCTCTTGGACATAACTAGTTTAGACCAGTTTAGCCTGGTCCCTTTTTGGCTTATTCTATCTGGGATAGACTGGTACAACATGAATGGACTCTGTCTAGTAATGGCTAAGTTTATCCAGTCTCAATTAGACTTGCACAGTTTTAAGTCTCTAAAGATGATCTTTGAAATTTAATTGGGAGGCTGAGATTGGGAAGAACCAAGTTTGAGCCTAGCCTAGGCAGTAATAAAAAAGCTGGGAGTGGTGGTGCACCACCTATGCAAGAAGAGTAAATAGGATTGCAGTCCAACTGGCCCAGTTAGACCATATTCAAAAAACAAAGCAAGATGGGCTGGAGGTGTGAATCTAGTGATGGAGCACCTGTCCAGCAAGTGCAAGGCTCTGAGTTCAAACCCTAGTACTGCTCACCCCTCAAAAAGACAATGGGAGTTTGGGATCATGTTAAATCCTCAGGTACTCTACCCACTTCAGCCCCTAGGTATGTGAGAAATGGACCTCTACCCCATCTATACCTCCCAATAGCCAAATCCTTCCCCTAGGGTGGGAGTCTTACTTGTACAATCCCAACTCCTGTGCCTGTGTGTTACCACATGTGTGTTCACATACATATGCTGGTACCGAGGCTTTAATTCAGGGCCTGAGTATTGTCTGTGAACTGTTTTGCTCAAGGCTAGCACTCTGCCACTTGAGCCACAGCTCCACTTTTGACTTTCTGGTAGTTGTAGATAAGAATTTCATGGACTTCCCTGCCCAGGCTGGCTTTGAATTTTGGTCCTCAGGATTATAGGTATGAGCCACCCATGCCTAACTCAGTCCCAGATCTGTCTTTGCCCCTCCAGATATCGATGAATGCTTGGAAGAACCCAACATCTGCCCCTTTGGGACCTGTATCAACAGTCCTGGGAGCTTCACATGCCTCTGCCCACCTGGCTTTGTCCCTTCTGAAAATGGGCACCGTTGCTTTGGTAAGTCTGGGTCCAGGGTGTGTGTGTGTGTGTGTGTGTGTGTATATATATATATATATATATATATATATATGTATGTATGCTTGGCTTAGAGAAGGGAGTAGGGGTGTATGTTGAGGAAGGATCAGATCACCCAGAATTGGGGGCTCTGTATTCTTGAAACTCTGGCCAGACAAGCCACTTCTACAGAGGGCTAGCTTGTCTATTCTGGGCTAGCCTGGTCCCTTGAGCTTAGGTTGTTCTGTAATAATTGGCTGCCCTCACTGAGTAGGTTTTGGTCAGTCCAAGCTAGCTGAGGCCACTGGATAACTTCCTCTCTGTTGGGCTAGCCTCGGCCAGCATGGGTTAGCTTCAACCAACTTGAGCCAGCCTTTTCTCTCAGGCTGAAATACAGCTTGCAGTTCTACTCAACTAACATCTTTCTGGGGATCTGGGCTCACTAGAAGCCATGTCCCAGCCTGACCGTGAGCACTTTCAATTTGGTGGGAGTCCAAGGGACCTAATGTTTGAGGGTTTGAAGCCCGAAATCCTGAGTCCTCAAGCTCTCTGGAATCAGTGGCTTTCTTTTTGTCTCTCTAGATAGGGGCTTTTCTGGTTGAAGAGTAACTGGCCGAATTGGGCCATTCTTCCTGGCACAGGGGTACCTCACAACAGAAAAGAAGGGATTCCCATCTTTCTATCCAAAGTCCCAGGGATGATCTTCATTGGCCCAGTGTGGGTTATGTGTTCATTTCTGGAGGCAATCACCATTCCCTGGGGTATGGATAGTTAGTGATTGGCTGCTAGTAGGACCAGCACTGCCCCTTTACCTGGGGTGGAGGGGTGGAGGAAAGCAGAGCAAATGCACACAGCTGTGGGCATTTAATCATCTTAATAGAGCTCCTTACCTCCCACCCCACAGACACACGACAGAGTTTCTGCTTCACCCGTTTTGAGGCTGGAAAGTGCCTGGTGCCCAAAGCATTCAACAACACCAAGACCCGATGCTGCTGCAGCAAGAGGCCTGGGGAGGGCTGGGGTGACCCCTGTGAGCTGTGTCCCCAGGAGGGCAGTGGTTAGTGCCCGTCCTGCCCTGATCACTTCTCTAGCCACCTGTGCTCCTTTCTTCCTGCATTCTTCCTTACCATTTCGGGATCTTGGAGACCTCACTGAGTCCTGACAGTAACTCACTTCCTTTCCTGTCCAGCTGCTTTCCAGGAGCTGTGTCCCTTTGGCCATGGAGCAGTGCCAGGCCCCGATGACTCCAGAGAAGGTGAGTCCATCACCCACTAGGAGCCCCTCAGCTCTGTCTAGACCCAAGTCTCAGGCTCCCTCCCAACCTACAGGTGGCTATGAGGCCCTCACAGTGGCCAGTACCTTGTCTCAACAACTACTGCCTGCAGATGTGAACGAGTGTGCAGAGAACCCTGGCATCTGCGCCAATGGCCTCTGTGTCAACACGGATGGTTCCTTCCGCTGCGAGTGTTCCTTCGGCTACAGCCTGGACTTCACTGGCATCAGCTGCGTGGGTGTGTGACCAGTCCGTCCTGCCCTGGCCTCTATTACCTTCTTGCTTCACTCATCCTCTCCCTGAACTTCACTCATTCTTTCCCAATCTGTGTCCTTGCTCATTCGTTCAGATATTCACTTGTTCATTCAGTCACTCATTCAATTACTCTACCAATTCATTTATTCCCTTATTTGCCACCTAGCTTCTTCATTCATCAGTTGATCACCTATTCATTGATTCATTCACTACCCATTTGCCATTCACCATTCACTCTTTAACCTACTTATTCATTAACTCCTTCACTGGCACTCTCATTCATTCATTTATATACTCAATAACTCACACACTTGTTCACCTACTTATTTGCTAAATGTCTCTCACTTATTCACCTAGTCATTCATTCATTCCACTGTTCATCCATTCATGTACTCATTAAGTCTTTCAATCTTCCACTCATTCATTAATTTACTCCATTCTCATTCATTAATTTTATTTATGCTTTTACTCCCTGGCTCACTCATACTCATTCACTTACCTGCCTGCTGTTGACTCTACTCATTCATCATTCATTCACTCATGCCAGCTTGGTAGGCAGAGCCTGCAGCCCTGTCCAGTCTGTGGCAGGCAGCAGGGAGCATGGTCTTTGCAGGCACTGATCACTCTTTTATCCACCAGACACAGATGAATGCTCCCTTGGTCACCCTTGTGGGGAAGGCACTTGTACCAATGTCATCGGAGGCTTCGAGTGTGCCTGTGCTGATGGCTTTGAGCCTGGTCCCATGACAATCTGTGAGGGTAGGCTGCTGCTTGCCCAGTGCAGTTGGGTGATGGGGACACCTGCGGGGGAAGTAGGGGAGACTGGCCTGGAGGAAAGAATAGGGGTCCTGTGGGCAGACCCTGATTAGCTATGCCATCTGTCCTGGCCTCCACAGACATTGATGAATGTTCCCTGAACCCTCTGCTCTGTGCCTTCCGCTGTCTCAACATAGAGGGCTCCTACCTGTGCACCTGCCCAGCTGGCTACGCCCTGCGGGAGGATAGGGCTACATGCAGAGGTAGGGTCTGCACAGGCCAACGAAGGGCAGAGCCCCCAGGACTCCCCATCCTGGTAGTCCTCATTGTATGTGGGGAACCTGAAGACCCCTGAGTTAGTTATAGGACAAAGGGCAATCATGGTATAAGGCCAGATTGAGCAAGAGTTAGCAAAGACTCTGAAGAATACATTTCAAAAGGACTGGGGTGTAGTAAGGTAGAAGAAGGCTTACCTAGCAAGCTGAGGCCCTGAGTTCAATCCTCAGTACTGAATGTATTTTTTTTTAAAGCTACTAACGTTAGGCCCCAAACTCTTGACCTCATCTAGTCCTTATCACTCTACCACTTGATCTACAGAGCTACTTCCTGTTTGTTTTTTTGAATAGCTTATTGGAGATAAGAGTCTCACCCGCTGGCCTTAAACTGCCATCCCCAGATCTCAGCCTCCAGATTAGCTAGGATTACGGGAGTGAGTCACCAGTACCTGGTAGCCCTGGGAATTTGATTTTCAACACTTTTGAGCTTTTTTTTTTTTTTTTGATTGGTTGTTGGGCCTGAACTCTGGGCCTGGGAGCTGTCTCTCTGCTCTTCAGCTCAAGGCTAGAGCTCTACCACTTGAGTCACAGCACCACTTCTGGCTTTTTCTGCTTATGTGGTACTGAGGAATCGAATACAGGGCCTCATGAATGCAAGGCAAGCACTCTACGACTAAGCCACCTTCACAGTCCCTATAACACATGAGATTTTGGGAGACACCTTTTTTTTTTTGGTCAGTCCTGGGGCTTGAACTCGGGGCCTGGGCAGTGCCCCTAGCATTTTTGCCCAAGGCTTGCTCTACCAAATGAGCTACAGCTTCCTTCTGTTTCTTTTTTGGTATTTAATTGGAGATGAGTGTCATGGACTTTCCTGCCCAGGCTAGTTTGGAAACTCAGTCCTCAGATCTCAGCCTCCCAAGTAGCTAGTACTACAGTTGTGAGCCACTAAAACACAACTACATAATTTTATTGACTATATTGTATGCACATGGTCCAACATCCCCCTGGGCCCAGAGTCCAGCAGGACAGCAGGGGCAGGGCATGCCTCTTGAAGAACATGTGATCATATCTTGACTTTTTTTTTTAAACTGTCACAATGGAGGAGGGAGGTCACTTTGACATTTGCCCTTAGTGTCAGGGCGAAAGACTCTCAGCCTGGGCCTTGCCCTCCCCGCCCCCACCAAGAGCTGTTCTGGAGACCAAGGGGAAGGCCTGGCAGAATCACATATCCTAATGTGGGCAGGGGAGGTGGGTTTGGGGTGCAGCTCAGCCCCTTAGAATGGCCAGGGACTGGCAATGTTCTCCTGCAAGGACAGGCTTCATGCAGCACAGCAGGGACTTCCCTGTGGTCCCACTAAGGTGTCAGTGACAGGGAGTGGGGGGTAAATGGTCTAGTTCCTTTCCTTCTGGGACCAGGCTATAGGGTATCAGGCCTTGACTGACACTTGTCTCTGGTCCTCCAAAGATATAGATGAGTGTGCAGAGGGCCTGCAGGATTGCCACACTCAAAGCATGCTGTGCAAGAATGCCATCGGCACCTTTGCATGTGTCTGTCCTCCAGGAATGAGGCCCCAGTCTGGATCTAGAGATGGCTGTACAGGTATGAGGCACTCCTGAGGTGGCAGGGAACTCGCTTTAGGGGAGTAAACTCAAAGACAGATGTTGTGGGCAGACCTAAGCGGGGAGACTGTTCAGGGTTTAGAGAGGATGGCAGAGGGGCTCTGCCTCCCCTTCTGACCTGCTTCATCCCTCCCACCTTAGATGAGGATGAATGCCAGGAGCAGCCCAGCCTCTGTGCCCCCGGCCGCTGCATTAACACGATGGGCAGCTTCCACTGTGAATGTGACCAGGGTTTCCAGCCCAGCCCTGCCCTCACTGAGTGCCAAGGTAAATGTGGAGACATGTATGTTGGTTGGCTGCTGCCTCCCACTGCCTGTCCCCCCCAACACCTGGGTGATCCATGAGGTAGGGACAGGACCAGGGTTGGGAACACCAGAAGGCATGCAGGAGATGTTCTGTGCCAAACCTGAACATCACACACAAATATGTCCTGACAACAGAACACCCTGGATGAGCCCTCTCTTCCCCCTGCCTGTCTCCCATTGCCCTTTTCATGGTAGAAACTTACTCAGATCTGGCTGTCCTCTGCTTTCCCACTTCTGGGGAACTGAGCCTTGCCAATGAGCTGCAGGTACCACTGTCCTGGTGACCTGTCTGTCCCTGTCTATCCCCACATTCTTCTCTCTTCCCTCAGTACAGTGTCCACCCAAAATCTCAACCCCACAATGTAGCTCACCCCAGAGCAAACTCAGTTTCTTGTCCCCTAAGTCCCAGCCCAGTGTTGGGGTGCCCAAGCCAGCTTCCTTTCACTTGCTTCACCATTCAGTCTGCATTGGGCCCTCTGCATTGCCTGCCCGTGTCTGGATGTCATTGTTCTTTTTGTGTGCGTGCCAGCCTGAACTCAGCCTGGGAGCTATCCCTCAACTTTTTTGTTCAAGGCTTGTGCATTACCTCTTGAGCCACAGCCCTACTTCTGGCTTTTTGGTCATTAGCTGGAGTTTAAAAAAATGTCTCACAGAGGGCTGGGAAGGTGGCTCAGTGGTAGAGGGCTCACCTTGCATGCATGAAGTCCTGGGCTCGATTCCTCAGCACCACATAAGCAAAAAAAAAAAAAAAAAAAGCCGGAAGTGGCGCTGTGGCTTAAGTGGTAGAGCACTAGCCTTGAGCTGAAGAGCTGAGGGACAGCCCCCAGGCCCAGAGCTCAGGGCCCAGCAAAAAAATAATAATAATAAAATCTCAGACTATGTTCCTAGGCTGTCTTTGAACCTCCTCAGATCTCAGCCTTCTGAATAGCTAGGATCACAGGCATGAGCCACTGATCCTCAGCTGGATGCCATTTTCCTGCCCTGTCTGCTGTTCTGTCCAGCTCATCATTACCTCTTGCCCCCACCCTGATGTTCTCTGGAGTCCCTTCTGCCCCTTGGCTGTCCTCCATTCTCACTGTGGCCAAAGGATGCTGACCTTTGACCCCAAGGGAATTACTGATATCTGGGTGAGTCTGTGGCTTTTGTCCAGCCCGCTGAGGGTGTTCCTATGACCAATAACAGTGACTTAGAAGATTTCACCCTGTGCAGACATGCCTAGCTGCCCAGTCCCCCAGGATGGGGTCCAGATCTGCAGAGGTCTCCACCCACTATTCTTACCTGTTCCTGCAGACACTCGGCAGGGGCTCTGCTTCACCGAGGTGCTACAGGCTGTGTGCCAGGTTCGGTCAGGCAGCGATGAGACCGTACCCTGGGCTGTGTGCTGCTGCGGGGGTGGTCGGGGCTGGGGGCCTCAGTGCGAGCCCTGCCCCCTGCGTGGCACCTCCACTTTCTGGAAGCTGTGCCCCCATGGCTCAGGCTACACCACCGAGGGACGAGGTAGGTATCTTTGGTACCAAGTGTGATGTCGTGTGGCAGTGGTGTGTGTGTATATGTGTATGCATCTTTGTGGCTAGTATGCTGTGTGCACACATGCACATACTCTAGGGAGTCAAGCAGCTGTGTGAGCTAGTGAGTGTGTTTATGTGTACAAGCTGTCAGTGTGGGTTCCTGGGCTCTGTGTGCAAGCTTACTAATTGTGTGTGTGTGTGCACGTGTACACACATGCACACGTGTTTGTGAATGCTAGTGAGCACAGGAGGTGGGGTGTGTCCCTTTTACATACGTTGACTCATAAGCCTGTGTGTGACTGTGAGCACATCAAAGCACTGAGCCAGTGTTCATTTTCTGTGTGTGCAGGTGTATGTGTGTGTGAGATGATTGTGTGTTCTCTATACCCTTGTTTTGGTTTTGGTGCTGGTCTGGAGACTTGAACTCAGGGCCTGGGCACTGTCCCCAAGTTTCTTTTGCTCAAGGTTAGCACTCTTATCACTTCAGCCACATCTCTTCTTCCAGTTTTTTTGGTATTTTCATTGGAGATAAGAGTCTCAAGGACTTTCCTGCCTGTGTTGGCTTCAAATCATGATCCTCAGATGTCAGTCCCTCAGTAGCTGGGATAACATGTGTGAGCCACAGGCACTGGCAATGTATACACTTGTTAATGAGTACATGTGAGTTGGTGTGAGTTTTCCAGGAGTTGGCATGCATTGTCTGTATGTGCGTTCTTGTTTATGTGTGCTAGAGACTACAGGCCGGAGTAGGTTCTGAGCAGGTAGGTTGGATTAGCAGCACCTGTCCCTGGTCTACAGAATGAGTCCGCAGGTGTGTTCTGGATTCTAGCTAGCATGGAAGGGTAGGTGCAAGACTGTATGTATGTAGCCATGAGTGAGCATTAGTCACACTGAGTGTGTCCATGAGGGTGACAGGTTATCCCAAGTGGCCAGCGGTGACATGGCAAGGCCTGGGGAAAGTGGAGCCTGAGGTGCAGTCCTGCAGCCCTGTTGGTGGATGGGGTTCTCATGTGACATGTTATGTGTACTTACATACATTGCATACATATTAATGTGGGCTCAAGAGACATTATGGGTAAGGCTAGAATGTGTGTGTCTATGTGTGCAGTAGAAGGAGTTTCAACAGCGCATCCTGCTGGCTCAGGTACAACCTGCAACCTGAGTTCAGGAGTCCAGGGCAGAGAAGGAGACTGGGCTTGCCTCTGGGGAGAGGGCTGGTGGGCAGAAGGAAGGAGGCATGGCTGGGTGACAAAGCATAGCCAACCAGCACTGCTCTGCTTGTCCCCAGATGTGGATGAGTGCCGTGTGCTTACTCACCTGTGTTTCCATGGCGAGTGCATTAACACCGTTGGCTCTTTCCACTGCCACTGCCAAGCTGGATACACACCAGATGCTGCTGCCACTGCCTGTGTGGGTGAGCCCCACCCTGCCCCTAGCCAGATCCCTACAAATAGCTCTCTGTTCCCTCCTCCCTGGAGCCTTCCAGGTTCGCAAACCTTGGTTTTCATTTACAAAATGGTACCCTTGCTGGAGGCATGGCTTAAGTAGTAGAGCAGCAGCTGTGAGCAAAGTGGGCCCACATTTTAACGTAACAGAAAATGTGGGGGTGGGGGGCGACAGAAGCAAAGATTTCTTGGCTTCTCCCTCTGTTCAGCCACATCCCCGCTCTCATTTCCCCCTATTATTTTTAGTTCTTGCAGTTTTATTTTTTAGTTACATTGTGGAGCAAATGTTTATCTAGGATAGGTGTTTATCCAACCCCAGGCATGAGTTGGCTCTTGCTTTTTTTTAAATAAAGTTTTATTGGCACAAAGATTTTGCTTTGCTGATACACCTATTTGTTTACACACCTGTTTGTTTACTCACAGCAGTTGTGAAGGAGCTACTTTTGTGATAGGAAGGCTGCACTGGCTCCCTGTGACTATGACAGTGTGCCCAGCAAAGCCAAGCCCATCCATGTTCATCCCTCTTCATCAGGGGGAATTTGTTCTAAGGCACCCCTACCTCAATCATCAAAATCTGGGGCTGCTCTCAAGCCCTTTCTATAAAATGGTACTGTATTTGTTATGTCAGACTCTTCCTATATACTTTTATTTAGTCTTTATTATTTTTATTATTAATTTTATTATATTATACTTTTATTAGTCTTGATTTGCTTGGTTTAAATATTTTGACTTAGGCAGTCCTGGAGTTTAGACTCAGCAGACTTGCTACAACAGCACTGGCCTCCTTGAGCCACTCCTCTGCCCTACTTTTATTTTATTTTTATTTATTTATTTTTGTCGGTTGTGGGGCTTGAACTCTAGGCCTGGGCACTATCCCTGAGCACTTCAGTTCAAGGCTAGAACTCTACTACGTGAGCCACAGCACCATTTCCAGTTTTCTGTTGGTTAATTGGAGATCAGAGTCTCAAGGACTTTCCTTCCCTGGGCTAGCTTTGAACCACGATCCTCAGATCTCAGTCTCCTGAGTAGCTAGGATGACAGGTGTGACCCACTGGTGCCTGGCTTACTTTTATTTTTTATCTTTTAGATTTTTTTTTTGGTGGGGAGATTAGTAGAACTTGAACTAAGGCCTTAAGCAGGTGCTCTACCATTTGGATCACACTTCAATGCTTGAGCCATGTCCCCAGCCCTTTCCTATGTACTTTAAATTAGATTTCCATGACAGAATGGCTAACTCAGTGTCCATAATTATTACACTATATTGCTTAGGGAATCATAACAAGAAAAAAACTTCACATTGAGTAACATGCATTTTTTTCCAAATATTTTCCATCCATTGAGTCCACAGGTAGTAAGGGAAGGCCATCTCTATGTACTATTTTTTTTTTTTTGGTCCAGTCGTGGGGCCTGAACTCTGGGCCTGGGCACTGTCCCTCAGCTCTTCAGCTCAAGGCTAGCACTCTACCACTTAAGCTACAGCACCACTTCCGGTTTTCTGGTGGTTTATTGGAGATAGGAGTCTCACAGTCTCTCCTGCCCGGGCTGGCTTTGAACCGCGATCCTCAGATCTCAGCCTCCTGAGTAGCTAGGATTACAGGCCTGAGCCACCAGCGCCCGGCACCCATAAGACTATCTCCATTTATCACCAAAAAGCCAGAAGTGGAGCTGTGGCTCATGTAGTAGAGCACCAGCTATAAACAGAAAAGCAAGGGACAGCACCCAGGCCCTAACCTGGGTTCAAATCCAGTACTGGCACACAAAAAAGAGGTTTACTCATCATAGAAACATTTTTGTAGAGCCTTGCTATCAATCCTGGGAATAAGGACTAGATGTGGTAGTTCATGCCTATAACCCCAGTACTCAGGAAGCTGAGGCAGGAGGAAGATCTCAATTGAATGCTGAGGTAAGAGGTGAATGACTTACCCAAAGCAACATAGTGGGCCAAGTATGGGCATAAAGCTCCATACTTATCCCCCTAACCCCAGGCAACCTGTCCATCTGTCCTCTGCAGACAATGACGAGTGCTCTGCCCAACCTGGCCCATGTGGCACCCAAGGCCGCTGCCACAACAGCCCAGGCAACTTCCACTGTGAGTGCTACCAAGGCTTCACCCTGGACAGCTCTGGCCGCAGCTGTGAAGGTAGCACTGGACTTGAGTAGGGTCTAGGGTGGGGGCAATCCTGAGGATCACCAATCCAGGCATACTCGTGCTCTCCCTCTCTCTCCCCTCTCTCTCTCTCTGTCTCTCTCTCTCTCTCTCTCTTTCTCTCTCTGTCTTAGATATAGATGAATGTGATGGGCCCCATAGCTGTCACAATGGCTGTCAGAATGAGCTGGGGGGGTATTGCTGCAATTGCCCCTAGCACTCCCAGTGGGCCCAGTATGTGGGTGAGTGGCAGGGGCTGAGAGGAAGGGGGACACGTCCCAAATAGTTCTAGAGTAGGCACCTAAGAACTGCCTCTCTTCCAAAAGTTGTAACAAGCTGGCTTTTCTAAAAGTCAGTAGGCCAGCATGGAAGATCTCCCACGGTCAGGTAGTCCGGGGGACAACTGAGCAAGCATGGCATAGGGTTCATGCCTATTCCCTGAGGAGTGGTGGCTGGAGGGCTCTGTTGAGATTCTGAGACTATACCTGGGATTACTGATAAAGAGTGCCATGTGGGTACAGTATAGATAGAATGCTGTAGTTGATTTAATGATGTTTGCCATGGGTACAGCAAATAGTGTTGTGATTAGTGATGGCTGCTATTGATGTAGCAGAAAGAATGTTGTGGTTGATCCGTGATGTCTGCCATGAGTGTGGCATAAATAAAAAATAAAAAATGGTCTGGTAGATTTCCCTGTCTCCCATGGATGTAGAAGAAAGAATGAAGTGCTTGATTATGAATATCTGCTGTGAAGCCAGGCACCGGTGGCTCACACTCATAATCCTAGCTACTCAGGAGGCTGAGATCTGAGGATCGCAGTTCCAAGCCAGCCTGGGCAGGAAAGTCTGTGAGACTCTTATCTCCAGTTAGCCACCAGAAGTGGTTCTGTGTCTCAAGTGGTAGAGCACTCGCCTTGAGCTGAAGAGCACAGGGACGGCACCCAGGCCCAGGGACGGCACCCAGGCCCAGAGTTCAAGCTCCACGACTGACAAAAAAAAAAAAAGAATATCTTCTGAGCTTAATATAATGATGTGGTGTGGTCAGTTCCTAATGTCTATCATGTCTACCATGGATACAGTGGAAAGAATGACATGGTTAATGGATGATGTCTACCATGGGTGTTTTAGAAAAAGCATTATGATTGATTTCCTAATGTCCACTGTGGGAAGAAGAGTGTGATTCATCAGTGATCTCTATAACTGGGTCAGCAGAATAGTATGGTTGATTATACTGATAATCTGTCGTGTGTGTAGAAGGAAGAATGGTATGGTTGATTAATGATGTCTGCCATGAGTCCGGCAATGGGCAGTTAATACTCGCATGCTACATCTTTACTGCAACTGTTACAGAGGTTCTATTGTCTTCTGTCCCCCAGGCTTCCCAATATTTTCACTGCCCAAGGCCTCCCTAACAACATCCTCCCAACAGTCCTCCCTAGCCTGGCTATCAACCTCAGCCTTTACAAGAACCCATTGCTCAGGCCTGCTTGTCACCTCTTCTCAGCTGTCTCCTTCAGCTCCCATCATTCTAAGCACTAAACACTCCTGAGGTCTGTGGCATGGATACCCACAGTCCTGCTGCCTCCTAGGCACTGCCTTCCTTGTCCTCCTCTGTCTGTCTGTCTGTCTGTCTGTCTGTCTCTCTCTCTCTCTCCTCTCTCTGTCTCTTTCTCTCTCTGTCTCTGTCTGTCTGTCTCTTTCTCTGTCTCTGTCTCTCTCTCTGTCTCTGTCTCTCTCTGCCAGTTGTAGGGCTTGAACTCTGTGCTTAGGTGCTTTCCCTGTGCTCTTCAGCTCAAGGCAAGTGCTCTACTGCTTGAGCCACAGTGCCACTTCCAATTTTCTAGTGGTTTATTGGAGATAAGAGTCTCATGGACTTTCCTGCCCTGGCTGCCTTTGAACCATGATCCTCAGATCTCAGCCTCCATAGCCAGGATTACAGGTGTGAGCTACTGGTGCCCAACCCCTCCTGTCTCTTAAAGATGGATCTCTAGATATGTTCTCAGTCTGCCTACTTCACACCACCCTGTAGGCATTTGTCTCCAGGATCTCAGGGATGCACAAGCCACTAGCCTTTGCTGGTAGTGCCTTATTCTTAACTTTTCTCCTCAGCATACTTGATCACTCCTTCCTTCCCAGCCCTTTGCCAATAACTTGTCTTACACCAGGTCCTGACAGTCATATCCCTGCCCAGAGGGTGTCCAGTGTAGTCAGACAGTGAACATTCATTAGACCTTACATTGTATTTTCAACTAAGGACCATTTTGCCCCTTGGTGGACATTTCAAAGTATCTTGGAGTCCTATTTTTAATGGTCACAGTTTGATAGGCGGGATGTTGGAGGAGGGGCTGTGGGACATGAGGGAGAATAAATAATAGGCAGGGGATGAAGAAAGACTGATACAGTTTAAAAGCTCCTGCTTTACATAGTCAAAGAAAGCTGTTATAAATTAGTATTGTCTGCCCTGGGTGCAGTAAAGAGTCCAAAGCTTCTTTCTGTCCTCCCTGTCCGCAGATGAAAATGAGTGTGCATTATTACCTATGGCCTGTGGCAGTGCCTCCTGCCACAACACACCTGGTGGCTTCCACTGTGTCTGTCCTTCTGGCTTCGACTTCAACCAGGCCCTTGGGGGCTGCCAGGATGTGGACGAATGTGCTGGACAAGGCAGCCCCTGCAGCTATGGCTGTGCTAACACAGCTGGTGGCTTCCTATGCGGCTGTCCCCAAGGATACTTCCGGGCTGGGCAGGGGTAAGAGGTTTGAGTGGGGTGGGGCAGGGGCAATGTGGGCACAAGCTTCATTCCCTTCAAGTGATAGGCACACAGGAGCACATACATGGGTTGAGAATCTACCAGATAAGCTCCCTCTGCATGTGTGTGCAGGTGTTACAGTTGTGCATGGAAAGCAGGACACACAGGGTACTGATACTGGTGCACACCCACATTTAGACAGGTCCCAAGGTAAACAAAAATGTCTATAAACAGTTCAGTACACTTGAAACCGTTGGAAATCTAACTACATAGCACACAGTAGCCACATTTCCAGGGCCTGGGTGGCTGAATAAAAGGAGGTGGAATCCATGAGTTTGCATGACTGGCTGTGCTCACATCTGGAGCACATGCATATAGATTCATACATCCCATTGGGCACATGTAGGCCAGCACACAGTCCTCCAGGTGTGCACCCATTCCTGAGAATACTCCTCTATCCAGTGTGAGAATGTGTGCTCACACTGATGCCCAGGTAAGCCAAAGAACACACACACACATACACACACACACCTATGCCTCCAGAGCCATACTAACACATAAGGGCACATATTCCTGTGGCTCAGAATGGGGAGAGAGGGCTGATATGGTATAGCTGGAGAGCTATCACCAGCCTGTCCCTGATGCTCCTCCCCTACCATCTACTCAGGCATTGTGTCTCCAGCCTGGGCTTCGGCCATGAACCCCAGGAAAGCTCATATGAGAACAAGGCACTTTCATCTGAAACCTGCTATGAATGCAGCATCAACAGCCTCTCCCCTCAGGACCGGCCACAGCGCAGCCCTCGTCACCACCAGGTACAACGGGGTTGTAGGTGGGCGGAGGGAAGCCAGGTGACTGCCCAAGCGTGGAAAGGAGGCTGTGGTCTTCAAACGAAGAAAGGAAAGGGGAGGAAGGGGCAGATATAGAAAAGGAAGGAAGGAAGAAAAAGAAAGCTAGGCAGGCACTAGATCCACATCCCAGCTTGTTCTTCGTGTCATGGTGCCTGCCCAGGTCTTCTTATACTTCTCAGCCCTGGTATATACCTTTAGGGATTCTCTCTGGCACCTAACCTCACTCCTGTGCTGATTCAAGCATATCCTGGCTAGGCTGATGTTCAGGAAAACAAGGAAAATGTTTCTGCCCTCTTGGAGCTGATATTTTGAAAGGGACAGACAATCAGTTAAATATCACATTTATAATACATGATAAATGTGATCCATGATAAGTATTACAGAGAAAAATAAATCCAGAGTGGAAATGGCATTGTGGGCCTGAGGTAATTCAGTGTCTAACTAAATGTGAATACATTACACAATTTTGTAATTTTTTCTGCCCCATGCTGGGAAAAACTTTTTAGCCTTTCCCTGCAATACCCGTGGCGGCCAGCAGGTGTCAGTTAGAGCATATATCTGAGCCACACTTCAGGAAAAAGGGCTGAGATTCCCAGGGCCAGTGGCTGGGAAAAAGAACTAGTTTTGCGTTAATACAACAGCACAGTCCTCCACTGCATGCAAATGAGAGAGAACAAACAGCTCAGAGCAGAGCAGAAGAGAAGAAAACACAGATAACCTTCTGTGGGATCGGATATGTCACTCAACTCGGGGTAGCCTGCCATTGATTGAGCCTCCACTGGCTTACTGAGGGCATTGTCTAGCTGCCAGGACCATGAAGGCTGTTCAGATAAAGAAGGGTTTGTCATCTACACATAGGGGGTTCTCAAAGAGAGCCAGATACAGGAAGCCACATACAGCAGCGGAAGCTAGCAAGCGGGTGGCTCTTCTGGTGTCTAGCCCTAGCTTTCTTCTTTCTGGCCCAGCTGGGTGGCCTGTTTAATCTCTCTGTCAGTGCTGGCCTTCTTTGAGAAGGGAGGGTTTGCAGAAAGGTTTTTGGTCCTAACACCAGCTATGCTGGGCTGTGGGGCCCCATGCTGTCTTCCTGACTTCTTATCTGGGTCGCTTAAGACAAAACTTTGATTTCTTGAGTGCAGAATGGCAGGGGGTTGGGGCCCAGACCTACTGACGAGAACTGGCCTCAGCCTTGTGCCCTTATACCTTCACCCTAAACTAATCTTGGCCTTGTGGATAGAATGCTAGACAAAAGAAGTTCAGAAGAAACTGCATCAGGGACCCTGCCTGTGCCTTAGAGATGGGCTACAGATCTCCCCTTAAGCCATGACCCCTGGTACCTACCACCTGCCCGTTTACTAACCTGGTCTTTCTTCCCCAGGTCAGCTTAGCCACCTTTGACACAGAAGTCCATCTGACCTTGAGCCTGAATCTCTCCCGCCTGGGCCAGGCCCAGCATATTCTGGGGCTGCAGCCAGCTTTGGAGGGGCTGGCAGGGCGGGTTCGCTACATCATCTCCCATGGCAACCAGCAAGGTTTCTTCCGCATGCAGCACCAGGGAATCCTCAGTTACCTGCAATTGGGGCGCCGGAGGCCCCAGCCTGGGATGTACCAGCTGGAGGTAGTGAGCGTGCCAGGGCCCCAGGGTGTCTGGCCAGGACCAGTAGGCCAGGCATTGCGGCTACAAGTACGGTTGCAGCTACTCTAGTAGAGAGGAGCCTCGATGGGCCCCAGAGCTCTGAGGCTGCCCAACAATGTTAATTCTAGAACTGGAAAGAACCCGACAGCAATGGCTGACAAAGTCAATACTGCCCCTCCCCAACTCAGGAAGAGTAGGATGCTATACTCTGACCTCAGATGAGACCAGCCTGTGATTGTACCCCTTCTGCCAGCCTGAGGGGAGGGGGACTCCAACATTTAGTCTTAACTAAATTAGTTGCCAGAGACTGTGGGGTGCTGGTGGTCACTGTTTCTAGTCAACCTCAGGCTTAACCTTCTGTGCTGCACTGTGGTTCACCCTTTGGGGGTCAGAGGCCAGTGGGGTGGGGTGGCTGAGCAGTTGGGGGGCTCATCCAACCCTGTAGCCCTAGCGGCCTTTTCACCCCTCCCCAGGGGGTACCTGGATTAGGATTCCAAGGATGCTTTTCTATCAAAAGTAGAGAAAACAATAAAGTTATTTTGGGTTAAATCCACTTTGTTAGCAAGTTCTCAAAGAAGTTGGTCCTGCCCTTCATACATAGAAACCCGGGCCAACCATTAGGACCCAGAATTTTGGGGAAAACGGATTTCATCCCTGAGCTGTAGAGAGAAAAGTGTGAGAGACCTGCCCCACTCCTCCTGCAAGGGATGCCCAGGGTACCAGTGGGTTCCGTTCCCCCATCACATCTGTTGTGCATTTGACACAACCCAGAGCCAGACATGATAACTGCGGGTTGCTGTTCCTGACCCTATTCCACCTGTTCTATAAGTGACCCCTTCAGAGACCACCACAGCCTGGTGTGAGTAGACAGGTAATGTCTACTCCATTTCACAGATGGGACAACTGAGGCCCAGAGAGGTTAGGAAAGTTGGTCAGGGGCAGGACAGCCAGGACACTCAAAATGGAAATGAATGGGCTGTGGTTCATGTGCAGCCTTGTTGCGGTCCCCAGGCAAACTCCTTTGAGGCAGCAGTATCATTGCTCCCATTTTATAGGGCGAGATGGGGGTGGGGGGCGGTGATGGTGGTGGTGGAGGTGGGGAACAATGTATGGGAGCCTGCCTGGGTCACCAGTAGGGTAAAACCTGAATTTGTTCTAAATCTGCATGCTAACACCCTGCCCATACCTACACTCCTGCCCCGAGATTCCAGGCTGTGTTCTAGAAAGGTCTATTTAGTTTTCATCTAGAACATTCTCTGTTGTGATTTAGACTGGAGGTGCCAAAGACTCCCATTTCCACCTGCAGAACTGACACTAGTGCCCCACACGGTGCTGTCCTTGCCTGGTCCTGGGCCACTTGACTTGCCAGTGACCTCTGAGCAACTAGTTAGAACTGACTGGCTTCTCCATCCATTTTCTGGAACCTCCCCCAACCCCATGCACACACAGCTCTTGAGTCAGAGCAGAGAATGAATGTTTTCTTTTTTGTCTATTTGGGTGGAACCGGGGTTTGAACTCAGGGCTTCAGTTGTATTAAGCAAGTGCTCTGCCACTTGAGCCACAACACCAGGCCCACAAGCAAGCCAGGAGGTCACCTTGTTTCAAGGTCACTTGGATACCACAGATCTTGGAGTGTAAAAACCACTGTGGATTGGCTCCCAAAGCTGGGGAACCCTCTAGTAAAACATGACAGGCGCAGGAATGACATCTTTTTCTAAAGTTATATGTCAAAGTTATAAAAAAAATTTTTAGTACAAACTGGGGGTTTATCCTTGAATCGGCACCTGGAGGTATGTAAGCAGGTAGGCTGGGATGGAGGATGCAGCTTCCAGGCAGGGTTCTCTCTACACAGATTTGATCCCAAACTTGTCACTGGCCCCTGGAGAAGAATAAGATCAACTCTTATTTTCAGCAGCCCCTAGGGTTGGGAATAGTAAAGAGCAGTATTTGGGCTGAAGGCAAGGCTTCAGGGAAGTGCTGTGGCAGAAAAAAGTCTAGGTCTCTTGGACTGTGAGATGCTGGAGTCCCACAGGATGGATCAGAAAGGCCGAGTACCATGGGGCCCTGTGAAATAAGAAATGGACATGTTGGACCTGGGCACTGTTGACTCACACCTGTAATCCCAGCTACTCAGGAAGCAGAGGTTGGAAAAATACAGTTCCAGGCCAGTCTAGGTGAAAATTTAGCAAGACCCCCATCTCAACCAATAAAGAGCTGGGAGGAAATTGGGCACTAAGAGGCTCACACTAGCTACTCAGGAGCTGTGATCTGATGGTCAAGGTCAAAGCCAGCTGGGGCAGGAAAGTCAATGATACTCTTATCTCCAATTAACTACCAAAAAGTTGGAAGTGGAACTGTGGCTCAAGTGGTAGATTGCTAGCCTTGAGAAAAGAAGCTCAGGGACAGTGACCAGGCCCCAGTACTGGCACACGCACGCACACGTGCGTGTGTGTGCACACACACAGGTGCACATGTGCTACACAGAGTAATCTAGGAAACACAAGAAGAGTGCTCCCTCTCAGGAAATGTGGTCACAGGAATCCCCCTTGAATACCTGATCAATCCAAAGTATGATGACAGCCTACCTGCCATGTGCTACATACCAGACATGGTTCTGAGTAGTTGATGGTTGTGGGCCTTTTTGGCCGTCATTACAACCCTGTAGAATAAAGATAGTATTACTAGTTGGGTACTGGTGGCTCATAACTATAATCCTAGCTACTCAGGAGGCTGAGATCTGAGGATCATGGTTCAAAGCCAGCTCACCAGCCCAGGCAGGAAAGTCTATGAAACTCTTATCTCCAATTAACCATCAGAAAACCAGAAGTGGTGCTGTGGCTCAAAGTAGTAGAGTGCTAACCTTGAGCAAAAAGAGCTCAGGGATAGTACCCAGGCCCCAGGTGCAGGCCCCATGACCAAAAAAAAAAAGTTCAGGACGGTGCCCAGGCTCTGAGTTCAAGCTCCAAGATCAGCACACAGTAAGTGTAATAAATAATAATAAATAGGTATAATAAGTAGAGCAAAGAAGCTATTAAATAAAATGTGCTCTATTAAATGGATGTAAGGATGGGAGACTTTTTGACCAAACCCCTAGCCAGGTGCTAGTGGCTCATGCCTGTAACCTTAGCTACTCTGGAGGCTGAGATCTCAGGATTGAGGTTCAAAGTCAGTCCCGGCTGAAAAGTCACTGTGAGACTCATTGCCAATTAACCATCCAAAAAAATGGAAATAGTGCTATGGCTCAAAATGGTAGAGCACTAGCCTTGAGCAAAACAGCTCAGGGATAGCACCCAAGCCCTGAGTTCAAGCTGCATGCATAACCAACAACAACAAAAAAAAAACTATTACTATCATATACAGAGGAGAAAACAGATTGGTTGCATCTTTTTCAGTTATTATTAGAGTTTGAACTCAGGGTTTCATGCTTCCTAGGCAGGCACTCTACCACTTGATCCACATCTCCAGGCTTTTTATTTTATTTTTTGTTGGTCATGGGGCTTGAACTTTTTTTTTTTTTGTCAGTCATGGGGCTTGAACTCTGGGCTTGGGCACTGTCCCTCAGGTCTTCAGCTCAAGGCGAGCGCTCTACCACTTGAGCCACAGCGCCACTTCCTGTTTTCTGAGTGGTTTATTGGAGATAAGAGTTTCACGAACTTTCCTGCCCACGCTGGCTTGGAACTGCGATCCTCAGAGTAGCCTCCTGAGTAGCTAGGATTACAGGCGTGAGCCACCAGCGCCTGGCGGGCTTGAACTTTTTTTTGTTGTTGTTGTTTTGGGGTTTTTTTGTTTTGTTTTTTTGGGGGGAGGTCCGGTTGTGGGCCTGAACTCTGGGCCTGGGTGCTGTCCCTCAGCTCTTCAGCTCAAGGCTAGCGCTCTACCACTTGAGCCACAGCGCCACTTCCGGCTTTTTTCTTTTTGCTTATGTGGTGCTGAGGAATCGAACCCAGGGCCTTAGGCATGCAAGGCAAGCACTCTACCACTGAGCCACCTTCCCAGCCCCTGAATTTTTTATTTCTTGAATACTGTCTTTTATTTTTTTCCCAAGATCTCCTGGACTTCAATCCTCCTATTCATGCCTATGTAATTGAGATGACAGGATGCCCAATAAGCTTGCCCCACTTATTGGTTGTGATAGAGGAATCTCACTGATTTTTTTGGGGGGGCAGGATTAGCCTTGAACTTGATCTTTCCCCTCTCTGCCTCCTGAGTAACTGACATTACAAGTGTGAGACATCAAACACCCAGCAGAGACATAGCATCTTAAATGAGCCCAGTGTTGTGGGACTGAGTCTCTAACCAGAGAGATATGATGCTATCTCCAGGTAAGGAATTGAACTCAGTTGTGTAGGACCACCAGCCTGTCTTGATATGTGGGGAGATTTCAGAGGTGTGGGACTTGGCTTCACCTGCAAGGTCAGAAGCATGTAGGCATGGCCTCAACTTCGAAATCAATTGGAAATCAAGTGTAGGAGTGTGGCTGAGCAGCAGGGAAACTGGCTTAAGTGGTAGGGGGAGTGGCCTAAGTTACAGAGCATGGTTCCAGCCCTGGTAGGGGCATGGCTTAAGTGGTATAGCACCTGCCTGTCAAGAGGGAGGGCCCTGAGTCCAATCTCCACTAACATACACCTACACAAAACAAAACAGAATTGTGCTGTTAGGTACAGTGGCTCAAGCCTGTAATATTGGCTACTTGGGAGACAGATGTGGGATCATGGTTTGAGGCCATCCTGGAGAAATAAGTTTATGAGACTCCACCTCATTTAATGCCCAATCACCATAATGTACACCTCTCCTCCCAGCTGTGAGTCCTAATAGCTGGATGGAATAGCACACACCTGTCATCCCTAGAGACCTGGGAAAGCAGAAATAGGAGGTTCACAGTTCAGGTCTGCCTTGGTAGAAAGTGAGACACTGTCCTGAAAATAACCGAGGTAAAAAATGTAATCTCTAGCACTGACAAAAGACCTGGTAGGTCAGATGCATGAGTTGCCACCACCTGGGGCCTGCTGGGCTGAGTGCACACAACCAACTCTCCTGAGTTCTGGAGGTGAACGCTCTAAACCAGCAAG